AATTTTCTTTTAACTCATACATTATTTAGAAGTGTACTAGTTAGTTTCCAAATATTTGGGAATTTTCCATAGCTATTTCTGTTATTGACTTCTGGTTTAATTCCATTGTGATCAGGAAACATATTTTGTATGACTTGAATACTTTTCAATTTATTGACTCTTGTGTTTTGGCCAAGAATATAGTCTATCTTGGTAAATGTTGCTTGTGCACTTGCGAAGAATATGTATTCTGCTGTTATTGGGTGGAGTGTTCTATAAATATCAATTAGATCAAGGTGGTTGATTGTGTTGATCATGTCTTCTATGTCCTTACTGATTTTCTATTTGTTTTACCAGCTATTGAAAGAAGGAACGTTGAAATCTTCAACCATACATGTAGATTTGACTTTTTCTCCTTGTAGTTCGATTAGTTTTTGTTTTATATATTTTCAAGCTATGTTTTTAGGCTCATAAATGGGTAGGATTGTTACGTCCTCCTAATGAACTGACTTCTTTGTTGTTATGAGGTAACCTTCTTTGTCTCTGGTAACGTTCTTTACTCTGAAATTTGGTTTGATATTAATATAGCCACTCCAAATTTCTTTTGATTAGTGTTAGCATGGAATATGTCTTTCCATCCTTTTACTTTTCTTCAGACAGATTTATTGAACTATAATTCACCTAACACACAATTCACCCCCAAAAATTATACAATTCAATGACTTGTAATACAGTCACAGAGTTGTGCATTAGTCACCACAGTCAATTTTAGAATATTTTCATTACCCTAAAAAGAAACCCCTCACCTCTTAACTATCTACCCAAATCCCCATCTCGTCCACCTCTAAAAAAACAAACCAGCTGCTGTTGAGTTGATTCCAACTCATGGCAACCTCACATTTCAGAATAAAACTGCACTCCATAGGGTTTTCAATATCTATGATATTTCAAAAGTAGATCACCAGAACTTTTTTGCAAAGCACCTTTTGGGTGGATTCAAACTGCCAACCTTTCAGTTAGTAGCCGAACACTTAACCTTTTTTTTTTCCCCCCTCCCTTCAATTCTATCAGTTTTTGCTTGATATACCTTGTGTCTCTGTTGTTAGGTGCATATAAGTTTATAACATTTATATCTTCTTGATGGATTGACTTTCATATCATGTAATATTCTTCTTTGTCTCTAGTAACAATTTTTGTCTTGAAGTCTATTTTGTCTGATGTTGGTATAGTCACTCCAGCTCTCTTAAGTACTCTTTGCATGGAATATCTTTTTCTGTCCTTTTACTTTCAACCTATTTGGGTCTTTGGATCTAAAGTGAGTTTCTTTCAGACAGAGTGTAATTGGAGCATGTTTTTTTAATTTGTCCTGTCAATCTCTACCTTTTAATTGGAAAGTTTAATTCATTTACATTTAATTTAATTACTACTTGTGCCATTTTGGATATCTTTTTCTCTATATTTTTATGTCTGTAAACATTTTCTAGGGTACATGTTTAGTTATCTTCTTAGTGGTTACCCTGGGGGTTACAATTAACATATTAATTTATAACAATCTAGTTCAAATTAATACCATCTTAATTACCCTTGTATATAAAAACTTTGCTCCTAGTTAGCTCCACCCTCCTTTATGTTGTTATTATCACAAATCATAGCTTTATACGTTGTCTGCCCATCAACGTAGATTTATAATTAGTATTTTATGTAGTATTTTAAATCATATAGAAATATAAAAGAAGAGTTGTTGTTATTGTTAGTTGCCATCCAGTCAGTTCTGACTCATGGCAACCCCATGTTACTAACCAAAAATACTTTAATACACACTTACATTTGCCTATATACAGTCATGTATTGCTTAACTTCCATGATACGTTCTGTGAAATAGGACATTATATGAGTTGGATATTGTGCAAACACCTGGGTCCATGGGTGTCATGGATTGAATTGTGTCCCTCCAAAATATGTATCAACTTGGTTAGGCCATAATTCCCAGTATTGTGTGGTTGTCCTCCATTTTGTGATTGATATA